TCATTAGATGAGCTTGTCAAGGACTGGCATGGCCGGCTCTCGGCAGCCATCGATGAGATCACCCCCTGACACCCTCTGTGCCTTCATTCTAAGCAGGCTCCCTGGTTTACTGAGGAGCTGCGGCAAATGAAACGAGGGCTCAGATGACTAGAGAGACGGCGGCGCGCCTGTGAAAAAGCAGCAAAAGCATCATATAGGACATTTATGAGATCCTATGAGATGGCAGTCAAAGCCGCGAAGAGACAATTCTACATGGCCGTGGTTGCGTCTGCCCAGCACAATTATTTAGAACTATTCAGTCATTAACAGAGCTGCCACGGGGCAGGCCGAACGATAGGGAATTGGACATTGGCTGTAAGGCTTTTGCGAGCTATTTTGCAAATAAAGTCCTGCTGCTCCGCCGCAATCTCCCAGCCACAGTTGAGACAGTGAGCAAACTTGAGGCTCCATGCACATCTTCTAATTCCATTCTGGATAATTTTAGTCCACTCAGTCTTGAGGAAGTCAACAGATTGCTCTCAATGGTACGCCCAACCACGTGCAGCCTTGATCTGTACCCTTCATGGCTTATAAAAGCTAGTCATGAGGGGCTACGAGGTGCCCTCAGGGACATTATCAACAAGTCCTAATATGAGGGGCTGTTCCCAGGGGCACTCAAGGAAGCGATGGCCCACCCTCTCCTGAAAAAACCATCATTGGATCCGGCTGAATTGGCCAACTATCAGCCGGTCTCCAATTTGCCCTATTTGGGCAAAGTACTGGAGAGAGCGGTAGCAATTCAGTTGCAGAGCTTTATGGATAACACTTCCATGCTGGACCCATTCCAGTCTGGCTTCTGGCCAGGTCATGGTATGGAGACAGCACTGGTTGCTCTCACAGACAACTTCCGAAGGCATCTGGATCGAGGCGGTACGGCGGTAATGGTGCTGCTGGATCTGTTGGCGGCATTTGACACCGTCGACCACCAGTTACTGATCCACCACCTCGCTGACACTGGAATCCAAGGGCTGGCCTTGCAATGGCTTGTCTCCTTCCTCAGGGTTGGGGACAGAGGGTGGCATTAGGGGAGCAGATGTCCCAGGAGCACCCGCTGCTGTGCGGGGTGCCTCAAGGGGCAGTGCTATCCCCAGTGTTGTTTAACATCTACATGCGCCCCCTCGCCCAGATTGCCCAGAGGCACAGGCTGGGGTGTCATCAGTATGCTGATGACACCCAGCTATATCTGTTGTTGGGCGGCTGGTCTGATTCCAGCCCAGATGACCTGGAGTGGGCGCTTCAGGATGTGGCAGGCTGGCTTAGACTGACCCGATTGAAATTGAATCCAATGAAGATGGAGGTCCTGTGCCTGAGTCGGAGCGGGTCAGGGGTAGGGACCCCACTACCAACCTTCGGTGGGGTGCCATTGGTGCCAGCGCTAAGGGTTAGGACAGGGCTCTTTTTGTAGAAAAAGCCCAGCAGGAACTCATTAGCATAATAGGCCACACCCAACAGCAGGACCTCATTAGCATATTGGACCACACCCCTGACAGCACAGCTCATTAGCACATTAAGCCACACCCACATGTTACCAGAAGTGTGGTTATCCAGCCACACCCACCTTTTGCTTGTTATTCTGTTTACTTTGTTTGTTGTCAAAACCCAGGGCCTTTTTTTGTAGCAGGAACTCCTTTGCATGTTAGGCCACACACCCCTAATGTAGCCAATCCTAATGAGTTTCTGCTGTTGGGTGTGGCCTATTATGCTAATGAGTTCCTGCTGGGTGTGGCCAACTCAGGAGCCAGCCGGAACTCCGTTCCTGTGCGTTCCTGCCCAAAAATAGCCCTGCAGATTCCGAGGCTGCATCTAGTGCAGAATACCGCAGCCAGGCTTCTGATGGGTCTCTCTACATGGGACCACGTCCAGCCTGTGCTGAGGACACTGCACTGGCTGCCTATAGCGTACCGGATTCGGTTCAAGGTGCTGGTTTTAACCTTTAAAGCCCTATATGGTTAGGGGGCTGCCTATTTGAGGGACTGCTTTTCCCCACATGTGTCCCAGAGAGCACTGAGGTCAGGGTCACAACATTGTTTGACCCTCCCTGGACCGAAAGAAGCCAGGCTGAATATCACCAGAGCCAGGGCTTTCTCAGTGGCGGCCCCATACTGGTGGAATGAGCTCCTGGAGGACATCAGGGCCCTGTGGTACCTTTTAGAGTTCCGCAGGGCCTGTAAAATGGAGCTCTTCCACCAGGCTTTCAATTAGGAGCTGCCACTGATTAATGTGCCCTGGAACATCTTCTGGCTTGAAACTTAAAACATCTTCTGGCCTGAGACCTTGCTAGATACTACTCCTATCATTGAGTGTGATTTGGATTATCACCATCATCTGTTGGTTTTTATCTGTAACTGCTGCTGTTTTAACCAGTCATATTTTTAACTGTTTAATCTCTGTATTGTTTACATTATTTTAACCGTTAGCCACCTTGAGCAAGCGTGTCCGGCAAGGCGGGATATAAATATAATAATAAATAAATAAATAAATAACCTGGATCTGGCAATCCTTACCCCCCCATCCCCCTCTGGTAGCAAGGGTTGACCAGGCAACCCTAATTGTAGGACCCCTGTACAAAACTCAGAATTTACAAAATAATTCTGCACTGGTGTTGTGTTCTTACATAGACTGCGCACGTGGTCAGGTCCTCACACAGCCATGTGAACGGCTTAAGCTTTGCTCTCTTAGACAATAGCCAGCACAGATCCTAGAATGCACCCAATCAGGCGGTCAGGATCCTAAACTGACCTATTGAAGGCAAGTGCACTGTAAATAATCCTATCACGGGTGTGGGTGGGTGTTTGGGTGTGGATCACTATGGGAATATAAATAGGCCTCCAGTCCTGCTTTCCTTGTCTTGTATTCTGAGCTGAAATAAACTGTAAGCTGTTTCACTTATCAACTCGTCTGGTCCCAGTACTTTTCACTGGCTTTGTGTGTTTTAATGGAAGCACTGAAAGGGAATCCAAGTACTTTTTTAAAGTATAAAGAATGGCCTTTTAGCAACTCTGATTAGGGCAGTGATCATTGCATTTTGATCTACATCTGTATCTCATGCATCTCAATGTCTGAATTCAGACTTTTAGCTATAAATGGCAGAAAGAGTAGATCAGGGTGATGTTGCTACAAAAGCATACCCCAATATTTCTAGAAGGAATATGTGCATATAAGCAGGCTTCTTTGCTTAGGTGGATGAGGAAGTATGCACGTAAGCAGCTGGGCATAAAGTGCTATGCCCTAACTGACTTTTGGAGCTGTGCATGGTTAGTCCCAGTCAAAAGACTGGTGAAAGTACAGATATTAGAATTGGGAAACACGAGGTCAGATAAAGTCCCTGCTCCTTTCCCTCCTACCCCTGTATCACTGATTAATTGGCTAGAGATATATGTGCATGTGCTTCTGGATTAGGACATTATGCTTAGTATGCTCTCAGAAGCTTATACCATGAAAATCTTGTTGGTCTTTAACATGCTGCTGGACTCAAATCTGGCTCTCAGAGCTGCAGTTTCATAAAAATATCCAGTAACAAATACTAAGCACACAGGGTTTTACCAGTTCGTCTGGTTGGTTGAAAAACATAGCTGAGTTAGGTCAAGTTCTAACTCTAACAATTTTCCTTCCTTGCCCATTTGGCAAGAGTTATGATGTGTTTTGCCAGTGCAGCAATGCTGACATATGCAGTTTCTGGAGGGTAACCTCACTGATTGGCTTAGGATGCCCTTGCAGTGCTACAGCCATGATATCCTTTTGCAGAAGCCTTAATATCCATTCCTAAAATATATTTGCCAGAGCAGCAGCTTATGATTTTGGAGTATAAAATAGCTGGAGGCTAAGGTAGGCAATCTATGGGAAAATCAGAAATATATCTAGATTTTGATGGAAAGCATCTTACCTCCAAGTTTAGGAGATTTAGATCATGAATTTTGATTGAGATTTGAACAAAATGAGGTAAAGTGTGTTTTCTGTGTCACCCCTGTTCTTCCTTATCTGCAGAGCCTTTTCTATTTACATTCTCCTTCAAGAAATATTTCCAAGCACTTAAAAAAAAAACCACCCAGAATTTAGAGCTATGAAAATGATGCCTCTAAAGAACATAGCAGTCTGAACTTTCTGCATAGAAGGTCTTAAATTTTGTACTTTCTTATCTATTTTCAGACCTCATTTGCCTAATTTCTACTCTGAGACAGGCAGAGATTTCCCCTGCAGCATTCAGCAACTCTGCTGACTGCAGGGACCCTACCTGGCACACGATTTAGTGCGTCAGCATTCTAGATAGCAATGAATGAAAAATCAATCAGGGTAACTGCAGTGGTAGCACATGCAACTGTAGCCTACTTTGTGCATGGTTTTCAACATTTCACTGTAGACTAGAGACCCTAAAATGGTAAGTGTATTTGAAACAAAGTATGCCTTTACTGGTCAGCCCGGATTCTCCTCAGATAAGATGAAGACATTACATCACTTTGCTAAATTAACTAAGGTGCATAAAAAGCCCAAAATATATTGAATTGTATAGTTAAATACAGATTACAATACAACTATATTTGAGACATACATGATTGTTTTATGGAGAACAGAATAAAATTAGAGTATTTAAAAAATAAATCCAAAGTATACTTACCACTTAAGAATGATACTCATTGCTAATTGGCAGATTTAGTGGTGGGAAAAAGGGATTATTGCATGCATTTTTAATTTTTCTTTCAAAGGGCAGTTACTCAGTTGCATATCTGATTTCCACATGCCTGTGAAGTTAACTCTATCATAAAAGGATCCATCTTTACAAGTTAAAAAAAGTCACCAGCCTGCAGTAACTTTTCAAGCTGAGCGGGTTAAATTTTTAGAGTGCAATGAGAGAATGATGGGACTGTAACAACTTGTGCACTGCAACCCTGTTAAGGTTTCCAAATTTCTCACGTTTCTTTATATGTGGTACTCTGACAGTGAAGAAGATTCTTGGGCTATAAAAGATGAGGAGTCTACTTTTCCTGGTGCTGATTTCTTTCTGCTGGGCTGACCATCATGCTGCCAACTTCACTCTGGAGCATGACAGAATTATTCACATCCATGGTAAGTAAAATAAATTAAAGCAACAGAGTTATGATGCTGTACTGATATTATAAAATTTGATGCATTTTTGAAACAAAATTACTTAGCCATTTTTATTGCTACGTTGCATGAGTATAGTTTGGAAATTTTGAACTGCAGTTACACAATATGAAACCCTGCAGTGATTTCTAAGATTAAAACAGTATTTGCTAAAATAAAAGCACACACATACTTACTGAAAGCAGTAAGCAGTCTGTCGTCTTATACTTCACTGTGGTTTGCCTTACTGCAGAGTAAACAGGGTTGAAAACTGATTATACAGAAAAGACCTCTATGTCATAGATGTATGGCAGTAACTGTTTATTGAAAAAAAATCATACATACAATTCAAGAAATACAGAAAGACACTCACCTCACTGAAGAGATGTCTTTCCCCATAGCTTTCATGCATAAACGATGGTATATTGTCCCTCTGCATAATCCTGTGGGTCCTTTTGAATCCTAAAGCTTATGGCTGTTAGGAGGCTTTGAGGCTGCAGTGCAATGCAGCTGTTTTTCAGCCTCAGCTTGAGCAGTTGAGGGTCATCCTGCATGGAGCAAGCCAGAACATTTATTTATGCAAAAGTGACAGGCAAGTGAACAGTGTTAATTTTAATAACACTGCCTATTGGTACATATAAAGTTTGCACACTCAGGGCATTTCTTTATTGGCATCTGCAATTTTTATTAAGTATTCTGTGCTACCACTTGATACCAAGAAGTGTTTAGTGTTTGCTGGCAAGACTCAACATTTCCAAGCACCAAACTCTGTTTCAAGGTCACAGGAAGAAATTGCCCAGGATCGGTGTCAGTGGTACTAGAAGGGAAAGTGGTTAAAAGTGGGTGCAAACATGGGGTGTTAATTTATATATTTCTAAGAATTAGTGCTTACATGTTAGTTATCTATTGTTCCTTTTGTAACATAACTTTTAATGAGACAGGAAAAGAAGGGGGACTTTCTGAACGTTTGGCATACACAGAACTCCTAAAATATCCTATTTGATTACTCTTTTAAGTTTCTCGGTGAAAGTGTTGCTCATAAGTCACCATAACCTTGGGTTTAAAAAATTACTTGAAAAACCAGGTAAAATACAGTTTTATAAAGGGGGGGGTAAGGGATTTTTGTACATTTTGAGAGGAGTTCATAGCTAGGCTCTTACCTAACCAATGCTGAATAATGATTTGTGGTTTTAAAAATTCTTTTCCAGAAACAAGTGGGGCTATACAAGAGGGTTAGGGAGTTAACCAATGAATATGTATTTGCCCCTGCCAGTTCAAACAGCAGTACATTTACTTTAGCAGTAATTCACTGGCACTTCCATAAATATCAGATTACCACTGTTTCATCTCCAGACCAAGAACCAAAGTAATGACTTTTGTAATGACACCCCATCTCCAGACCTAGAAACTAGGGACTTAAATTTCATACCCTACAAACTTCTTTTGTATTTTTTTGCCTTTTACACTTCTGTTTTTATAACTGAGGCTTAGGGGACCACTTAGTCTTCTAGGCAATGCTTGAACTCAGGGTATTCACTTGAACCTGGCATTCACTTGGCCTGTTGTGAGGATTATACACTTGAAGGAATAGGGTTGCCAATACTGGATTTAAAAAATCTTCAAGGTTTGGGGGTGCAGCCTGGCAAGGGGAGGGTGCTCAGCGGGGATATAATACCTTTAAAAGAGTCTGCACTCTGAAGCTGCCATTTCCAGGGGAACTAATCTCAGTAATCTGGAGATCAGTTGTAATTCCAGGAGATCTCCAGGCCCTATCTGGAGGATGGCAACCCATAAGGAACCACACAGTAGTCATGATGGAAAATGATAAAGAAACAGGTTTGGGCCCCGTTCACACACCGAATTTGCTGCAGGAGAGCCACGAATGTTGGGCGGATTTCCCAGGTGCGATCACACCGCAACATCTGGTGGGCATAGCGCACCCTTGGCCAACCCTCTGAAAATGCGTGGTTAAAAAGTACCTGCACAAAAGTACTGGCAAATGGTTTGCCACAGGCTGCCGATGGACTCCGTCGGTGTGATCGCGCCAGTGCAGCTTTTCCCTTCAGCCATCTTTGTTGAAGCGCAGGCACCGAGGGACGGAACCGTGGTGTGCCGCCAACGTGTCTGATCTTGTTCTAGTGGGTCTAACTGCACCGGTGCAAATAGTCGTGTCTCCCCCACACGCACGTTATCTGGCCCGTGTGACCGGGGTCTTATTTCAGCAGTACACTTTGCTTGGTTGTCTCTTTGTTTTCCTTTTCTCCTGCTATCTCAGGATTTCACTAACAAAGTTAAAGAGCTGGGGCCTGAGAAAGCATAACAGTTACAAAGCAGGTTCCTTGTTTGACTGGGTCAAACTTATAACAAGGAACAGAAAGACCTTTAATTTTAAACTGTTTTTGAGAGAGACAACATCCAAACCCTTCAAGTCTTCAAAATACAGATTGCCAGCCAAACTCCATTTCGATCTTCATGAGACTATTTCTGTGTTACCATTTATTCAGTTTTAAAGCAACCACCAATTCAAAACCTGAGAGTGTTTGATTTTGTGAAGGCTTATGGCCACATACAATAAAGTGATTCTGATTCTGGTTCACCAATTCAAAACAATGGACAAAAAAAAGGTCTCTCGCCCATGCTTGAGTCCAGTGGCACCTTTAAGGCCAACAAAGTTTTATTTAAGGTATAAGCTTTTGTGTGCATGCACACTTCTGCTTGCGTGCGAAAGCTTATACTGTGAATAAAACTTTGTTGGTCTTAAAGGCACCACTGAACTCAAATTTTGTTCTGCTACTTCAGACCAACGCAGCTACTCATCTGAATCTCTCTTGCACATGCTGTAAGAGAACCTGCCACAACCACCAATGACAATGCTACTCACCAACATGCAGTTTCATAATGGGATAAACAGTACTCCCCCAGGTCCATTTTTTGGTTGGGATAAGAGCTGGCAGGGAGGTTTAAAAGTACACTAATGCCACAGTCCCAGTCCAATCCATGGCGTGCATGACTAAGACCTAGGTACGGGATGGGGAGACAGTAGCTGTCTCTCAGCTTGCCCCTCCTGGGTTCTCAGTCCTCCACCAATCGCAGACTAGGGGGTGGGAGGAGGAGTGGCTTTATTCATTTGGGAGGCTTTTTCCTTCAAGGAGCTCCCACCATTGAAGATCCCAGGCATTGAGTGTGTTGGCCTAGTGTGGGAGGCCGGGGAGAGTTTGGCAATTTGACTGGTGTACTGACCACCCAACACACTGGCCAATAGCCTACCATCCCTTATGGAGGCCATATCGGGCTGGGCACTGGAACACCCTAGACTGATAATCCTGGGTGATTTTAGTGTCCATGCCGATGATGTGACCTCCACTCAGGCAATGGATCTGGTGTCGTCCATGATGGCGCTAGGACTCTCCCAATTTATAATGACCCCCACTCACCGGGCCGGGCACATGCTTGATTTGATCTTCACGGCAGGGGTTACAGTGGACTGGATTACTGCTTTGGCAGTACCATGGTTGGAGCACCTTGCCCTGAAGGTCCGTCTGAATATTTCACCCCAGCCCTGTTTGGGCAGCAGGCGTATTTTAGCTCATCCTCAGAGCCAAATGGACCCTATGCAGCTTCAAATGGCTCTCTGGGATACGATGCCCCCTGGCAGTTGAGCTTGTAGAGGATTGGCACAGCTGACTCTCGATAGCCATCTATGAGATTGCTCCCCAACGCCCTCTGTGCCCTCACTCTAGGCTCGCCCCATGGTTCACCCAGGAGCTGCAGCTTATGAAGCGAAGGCTAAGACAGCTAGAGAAATGCTGGTTGCATGCCCGTGATGAAGCTACAAGAACTTCTTATAGGTCATTTATGAGATCTTATGAGATGACAGTCAAAGCCAGTAAGAGACAGTTCTATGCTGCTACAATTGTGTCTGCAAGCTCACACACAGCCCAATTATTTAGAACAATTCAGTTCATGACTGCTCTGGCACAAGGCAGGCCAAATGCTAGGGAATTAGACATTGTGAAGCCTTTGCAAGCCACTTCACAGATAAAGTCTTGTCACTCTTCTGTTCCCTAGGGCCTTCAAAGAAACAGTGGTTCTCCCTCTCTTGAAAAAACCATCTCTAATAGGCTCGCCCCATGGTTCACCCAGGAGCGGCAGCTTATGAAGCGAAGGCTAAGACGGCTAGAGAAATGGTGGCTGCATGCCCATGATGAAGCTACAAGCACTTCTTATAGGTCATTTATGAGATCCTATGACAGTCAAAGCCAGTAAGAGACAGTTCTATGCTGCTACAATTGTGTCTGCGAGCTCACACACAGCCCAATTATTTAGAACAATTCAGTTCATGACTGCTCTGGCACAAGGCAGGCCAAATGCTAGGGAATTGGAGATTGTGAGGCCTTGGCAAGCCACTTCACAGATAAAGAAACAGTGATTCTCCCTCTCTTGAAAAAACCATCTCTAGACCCAGCCAAATTGGCAAATTACTGACCGGTCTCCAACTTTCTCTACAAAAATAATAGAGAGGGCTGTGGCAACTCAGCTACAGAGCTTTTTAGATGATGCTTCCATCTTAGATTCCTTCTAGTCTGGTTTTCACCCAGGCATCGGGATAGAGACAGCACTGGTCACCCTCATGGACGACCTCTGGAGGCATCTGGATTGGAGCGGATCAGCAGTGCTGTTGTTATTGGACCTGTTGACAGCGCTCGACACAGTCAACCATCAGTTACTGCTGACACGGGAGTTCAGGGGTCTGCCTTACAATAGCTAGTCTTTTTCCGAGGTCAGGGACAAAGGGTGGTACTAGGGAAACAGCTGTCCCGAAGGCACCCACTGAACTGTGGAGTGCCTCAAGGGGTGGTGCTTTTCCCAATGCTATTTGACATCTATATGTGCCCCCATGCCCAGATTGCCCGGAGGCATGGGCTGGGTTGTCACCAGTATGCGGATGACACCCAGCTCTATCTGTTGTTGGGCAGCCAGTTTGACTCTAAACTGGAAGATCAGGACTGGGCATTGCAAGCCATGGCTGGATGGCTTAGATTGGGAGAACTGGAACTGAATCCGATGAAGACGGAGGTCCTGTGCCTGAGCCAGGGCAAGTCCGAGGGCAGGGATTCCACTCCCAACCTTTGATAGGGTGCCATTGCTGCCAGCATTGGAGGTTAGGAGCCTGGGAACACTCTTGGATGCCTTCTTAACAATGGAAGCCCAGGTAGCAGCCATTGCCAAGTCAGCCTTCTACCATCTTCGGCTGATCAGGCAGCTGGTTCCCTTCCTTGACCGCAATGACTTGGCAACAGTGATCCACGTGACGATCCTCTCAAGACTGGACTACTGTAATGCTCTCTACATGGGGCTGCCCCTGTTGCAAATCTGGAAGCTGCAGCTAGTGCAAGCCAGGCTTTTCAGGACAAATGCTAGAGCGTCTCCCCCCCCCAGCAATGTGCCCAGTACAATGACATCACCTCCGGGCGACGTCATCATGCCAGGCATATCAGCCCAATCCAGGCACTCTGGGGGCGGGGTTACCCCCATCAGCTGGATCCAGGCCAGCGGGTCAGGGGCCCCTAGAGCAGGCAAACACTGCCCCCCAGGGATCTGGCAGCCCTAACATCCAATAACTAATGCATTAGGATTTTAGAAGTCTGGAACCACCAGAAAGAAACAGGAGCATAGCATAAGTATTAAAATGACACATTAAGCGGTACAGAAATTACATAATAGGATCCTACTGACAGTACACTATATACAGCGGTAAACACCACAAGTCTTTGTGAAACCATTTTGTACTGTGTCGCCTTATTACCTGCACAGAAAAGCCCTCTTGAATAGTTCAGTTTTGCATAGTTTGTGGAAGGCAGGGAAACAGGGAGCTCTCCTGACCTCTTCAGGCAGGCCATTCCACAAGGTGGGAACCACAATGGAAAAAGCATGTGTATGGGGCAATTGTTGATTTTGCCCATGTGCAGGTCAGCACCTGCAGAAACCCCTGCTGACATAAGCGAAGTTGTCATGGCAGAGAGAAACTCAGTAGAACCTCTGAGAATGTCATCTAGACAGCAGATATAGCAAGCTGTACTTCCTTACTTGCTTTTTAAAAAAATTGTATCCTACTTTTCCCCCTGACTGGGGATCCACATCATAACAATATAAGAAGAGCCTTGCTGGACTAGGCCAGCATCCTGCCTCACACCATGGCCAACCAGTTCCTCTGGATGGCCAACAGGGCACAGAAGCTGAAGCCTTCCCCTGATGTTGCCTCCTGGCACTGGTATTCAGAGGGTTAGTGCTTCCGAATGTGGAGGTTCAGTTCAGTCACCATGGCTAGTAGCCACTGATAGACCTATCCTCCATGAATCTGTCTGATCCCCTTTTAAAGCTGTTTATTCCTGTGGCCATCACTGCATCATCTGGCAGCAAATTCCACATTTTAATCGCTCTCTGTCTAAAGAAGTATTTCCTTTTGTCCGTCCTGAATCTGCTGTCCATCAGCGTCATTGGATGCCCTTGAGTTCTAGTATTTTGGGAAAGGGAGAAAAAAGTTCTCTTTGACATGGATTGGTAGAATCAGCTCACATGGAGGGCGGCTAACCTATAATGACAGTTCACTTCTTTGTGGAGATGCCTCCCCCCCCTCGTCCTCCACGCTCTCCATCCAGGCTCTGTCTGGGGAGCCGCTCACCGGAGTCCCCTTCACCGCCTCCTCCTCCAGCCAACCCGCTCAGCCTCCTCTTCCCAGCTCCACAACATCCTTTCCCCATCGGGACGGGAGCCCCTGCTGGCCCCGGAGATCTGCAGGGCCGCTGGGGGGGGTTCCAGCCCTCTCCTTCCTGGCATCGACCTTCTCCCCTGGACTCGCTGGCCACTCTCTCGCCACTCTGCTCCCTCCTGGAGGCCCTCCAGAGAGCCCTCTCCCTGCACCCGGCCTCGCGCTGCGGATGGAGGCGCCAGATGCGCGGTTGGCAGTGGCGCTGCTGCTTTCAGCCGGGCCCGGTCATTGATAAGAGGCAGCTCTTCTGGGCTAGCCAGGTCTTGGGCCACCTCTGCTGGGCATGCTGCACCAGCAGGAGCCGCTGACGGCTGCCCTGAGCTGGGGAGCCTCAGCTCGACTAGCTCGGGGGGGAGGCTCGCCTGCAGGATGCAGAAGCCGCCAAGGGGAGCTGGAGAGCAGCAGCAGCCACAGCGGTGGGTGAGTGAGTGAGAGAGGCAGCGGGCAGGACAGGGAGGATGCGGGAAGGCCGGCCGACCAATCACCGGCCAGCTGGGAGGTCCTCAGGCCCCACCGGGAGGTTGGCATCTGCTCTTGCCTAGGGCGCAGAAACACCTCAAGCCAG